CACCGCCGGCCCCGCCACCTGCTGCCGCTGTCCTACAACTGCCTCGGCTTCTGGATCTTCTCATAGCTTCTCCGGGAAAAACCGGAGCCAATTTACTTCCCTCAAACAGCTGTCATTCTTGCAAAGCTGTCTCTTTGCTGTGATTTTCAAAGGGAGACTCAGGGCCAGGATTTCTTCAGCGAAGGCAAGCGGTGGAGGTGTGAAGGCGGAAGACAGGGGCATCCGACGGAGGGAAAGACACAGGTACACACACGTGTCTGAGAAATGCTGACTCGGTAAGTGCAGGAAAATATAACCTTCTTGATACCTGAGAATGAGGTCAAGAAAGAAAAGCAGAGAGTGGAAAACTTGCATCTGTGCTGTAGCTGCTGGGGTTCTTACCAGGCAGGCATGACCCTGTCTGACCTTGACTGTCAGACCAGAGGGTTAACAGAGGAACCGACCAAAGATATGAGGGCAAACGGCCAAACCAAGCTGACCGGCTTTGACATGTCAAAGGACAGATGCTGTCTGGCTCGGGCAGCTGCCGGGCGGGGAAGGAACCCAGAGCTCAGCCTCTAAGATGTAAGGGCAGCAACAGCCTGAACCCGGGCTCCAGGTAAGCGCTGCCCTCCACCACTGCTTTGAAAGGAAAAGGCTTCGTCTGGCTTGTTGGCTTAAGGTCTGAAGTAGTGACGAGCCCACTTCCCGGGCTCCCTGTGTGCTCTCCGCTTCTCCGGTCAAGAGAGGTGCCAAACGTGTTGGACCGCGCGCTGTGATCAGCGGCCAATGGCCCGACAGAGACATTTTCCCCCCGGTTGCATTTTTTTTTTTTTTTTTTTTTTCTTGCGTTATGCGGGCCTCTCACTGTTGTGGCCTCTCCCATTTGCGGAGCACAGGCTCCGGACGCGCAGGCCCAGCGGCCATGGCTCACGGGCCCAGCCGCTCCGCGGCATGTGGGATCCTTCCGGACCGGGGCACGAACCCGCGTCTCCTGCATCGGCAGGCGGACCCTCAAGCACTGCGCCACCAGGGAAGCCCCCGGTTGCATTTTTAACTTGGATTGCGGCCGCACTTAAGTTACACCGCGAGCGGGAAAAGAGAGGGAGGCAGGGAAGAGCAGCTCGTTGAGGAGGTCTGCAGAAAGCTTCGTGACAGCACGAGGATAGCGCACCCTACCCAGCGTGTCAACTACATGTTGACACCCGGTGAACAAACACCGATCGAGAACCTGAACCGTTCAAAACAGTGTATAAGCTCCATCTGCCACTGAAATCAAAAAGAGACGTGCTGTGGAGGAAAAGGCGGGCCGTGTCCTAACTCCTATCGGTGACGAGCTCAAGTTATAGAAAGATACGTTCTGACTTCATACCAGTACTTATTAGTGTGGTGGTTTAAAAGAAAAAAATCATTCACTCAGACTAATGGGCTCCTCTGGGCCACTGGGGAGGAAATGCTGATTTGGCTAGTTTATTACCTGCGCCGCTCCCGGTGAGGCAGGTTGGTTTACTGCTACAATTATTCTGGATAGCAGTTAATGATGCTAAGTAATTACTTGTAGGGTGGCATCCACATATGTCTAGAAAGGCCTGGCTTTTCAATACTGGCTGGGTTGTGGCTACAAACAAGGGGGGCTTGTCTGTGCAAGAGGGAAACAGTTGGCAAGGTCACTCCCTGGTTTTTTTTTTTTTCCTTCGCTGTTCGTTCTAATTGTCTGCACTGAAATCTGGAGAGTTGGTTGGCCCTGCACATCGTAGCAGGTACTTTTTATGTGTCCTCACATCGTCAGGGCGCTGTCTCACTTAAGGTAATGAGTGAGACTATCTCTCACAATAGAACTTTGAGTGCAATTCCAATGCACCCTGGCTAATGAGTCTTCCACATTCCATTTTTAGCCCTGCTATATACACGTATTAAAATCCTTGCCTTGACATTTACAATGCAGTTTGGGTGAAGGTTCTCTGCCTCTGGGGTCTGGTTTCAACACTTGTTAAGTGTAGCTCCCCTCCTGTTATGGCCCACAAACCTCACTTGAGATCTCAAGTATTAAAAGGTAGTGATGAGTAGGTATCACAACTGTCACCTTCAACCAAACACACGAAACTACCCTGTTAGCGCCGAATACAGCAAGGTCACCAGTCCCCATCAAACCTCCGTTAAATGCCCAAGATCATTCCTGGTCAGTAAATGTGTTTTTCTGACATATAATGGCACAGAAATCAAGCTCAAAATTGTCTGTAGGACAGATTGGTGAGAAAGACTTTTGCTTTTCTGTCAAAATATTCCCTTCGACTTTCCGTAAGGACAAAAGTAATGTAGGGAAGTTTGAGGCCACAGAAATGTGAGTTAAGTGAATATTGATCGACATTGACAAAAGCAAGCAACTTCTCCCACGGTCCCTCCTCAAATCCTCAATGGACGGGGAGATAATTTTCCAAGGGCAAAACTTCCTAGCTCACCGATCTGCACGTTATTGATGAAATAAAGGTAATATCGAAAATGACAGTGCCTGAGAAGCAAATCTCAAACTGCCTTTTTATTGCGTCCAATCAGCAAGAGAATCGAGAACCACTTTCTTTTTAATACAAAATCATCAGCCAGTTGCAACTGAAACGCACCACAGTGACTTCAGCCAGTAACTCTCAACTTCTTTTCTTTTTGCTTTCTGAAGGCCCCCTCCACCCCTGGTCAGTCTCAGCACTACAGAATAACAGAGCAGTAAAACTGGGCTAGCGCTGACCTTCCATAGACGTTTATGTCTACCCATCCTCCAGAGGGACTATAAAGCCAGCAAAGACATCTCATCTGGAAATCTCTTGTATTAAGAAAAGTGATGCGTGCGGTCCGAAAGTGGACCGAGTGACCTGTAGACCAGCGTGCACTTCAAAACAGAGTCCTAACTCCTATGAAGGCCTTCTGTCATCAGCTGGGGACCTCAGAACTGACCATTCCAGCTTCTCCAAAGGACCCTCCCACCCTGTCCTTTCACACACACACAAAATCCTTCTTAATATTAGCCTAAATATGTTTGGCTTTTTTTTTCCCTCTATATTTTGCCTTGGATTTAAACAAAATTCCCAGGTAGATTTTTATCTCCCCCGTGCCCAAATCCCCACGATAATAAAACCGCCTGCAGGTCGTAACACTCACGGGACAAGCCACGTTGTAAATTGCACAGCGTGGCTACCATTTCAGGAAACTGACCACTGACTTTCTGCCCGGCTGACCTCTCGTGATCTCTGACCCCGGGCAGAGGAATAAGCAAAGGGGAAGAGCCGGGTGGCGGGTGTAGCCTCGGTTCGTGGAAGGCGCCCAGGTCTAGAGGTAGGTGCCGGGTTCGAAGCAGCTCTCTCTCGAGTTGCTCTGCTGGGGAACCTCATTCTGGAAAACCGAAGTCCGGCAGCGGCTTTCCACATCAGGGCCAGGAGAAAGAGGGGGGAGATGGCCCGGGGAACAGAAGGGGCTCAGGATGGACCCCCAGGGGCTCGCGGGGAGAGGAGCTGGGAGCACCTCCTGCTGGCGCTGCTGCCCAGAAGCTCTTCCTCGCGCGGAGATCGGCTCGGGGGCCGGGCGCCGGGGCGCGGGGTCTCACCTGTTCCAGCGGGCCACCTTCCTCCGGTAATAGCGCAGCGCCTCGGGGCCGGCCAGGAGCGAGTCCTCGGGCCCCAGCAGCGGCGGCTCCTCCGGCTCGTTGTACAGCGGGTGCGCGAAGAGGGCCCGCAGCTTGGAGCCGGGGCCGCCGCCGTCCGGCTCGGCCGGGGGAACGCGGCGCGCGGCCGGCCGAGGGGCCGAGGTGGCGGCGCGGTGGGCGCACGGGCAGCCGGGCGGGCGCTCCCGGGGTCGCAGCCGGCGCCTTACCCGGGGCCCGAGGTGGAAGTAGAGGTCGGCGGCCAGCAGCACGCCCAGCAGCAGCAGGGTCCGCAGGCGGTCCCGGCGCAGCCCCGGCATGGCCCCGCCGCGGGGTGGTGGTGGGGGCGGGGGGCGAGGCGCCGGAGCCCCGGGACGGGGCGCTGCCCGCGCGGAGAGCCCCCTCCGAGGGCGGTGGCCCTTGAACTCGGGGCCGGGGCGCCGAACGCGCGGGGTCTGGCGGCGTGGAAGGGCGTCCCCTCTCCGCGCGGAGCGGTCCCCGGGAGCCGCTGTCTCCCGGGCCCCTGTTTCTCGCACCTTCTCTGCCCCGCGCCCGGCAGCCCGGGAGTCCGCGGCAGGTGGAGGCTCGGGGCGCGGGGACGGGCGGCGCTCGCCTCTCGGAGGAGGGGGAGGGCGGCTGCGGAGCCCGCGGCGTCTCTCCGGAGGATGCGGCCGCTCGGGCTCCTCCTGCGGGCGGCGGGGACGCCCGTGCCCCCGGCTCCGCGGGCCGAGCTGGTGTGCGCGTCCGGCCCCCGGAGGAGGGTGACGCCGGGTCGCCCCCGCCCACTCCCGCTGGCACCTGCCTCCGGCGCCGCCCGCCAGCCAACTCCGAGCCCTCTTCCGGCCCTGCCGGTCCACCTGGTCACCCGCCCCGCCGCGCGCGCGCCTTCCGCCCTCGCCCGGGACCCCCGCTTGCCCTGCCCGGGGCTCAGGCCGGGCGCTTGGTGCGGGGAAGGTGGGGCTCCCGCGGTGTGGGCGCGAGACCTTCGATTTTCATGTTGATTTCCTAGAAAACAAGACAGCTCCCGGAAAGCCTTTCTCCTGTAAGATTTGCCAGGTGTGTGTGTGCGCGCGCGCGCGCGCGTGTGGTCTTTTCTCTCTTTGCATCTTCCCGCAGAGCACCCACTTGATGCATAAGGACTACGTGTCGTGTGCATGTGTTTGGCACGTACTAGGCGCTCGGGAGACAGCCGCTTAGCCAAGGAAAAAGTTTGACCTTTAAAAAAAAGGCACCGGTTCCACCTAGCATCTTGGCGACTTCCTGTTTGGAGGGAGTTTGGTGCCAACTGCGCCTGCACTGTACCGAGAGGAAATCTGTCTTGCGGCGAAGGAGGGGGGCGTCCACCCCCTCCCGCATGACCCCACTCCGAACTTTTGCGGCGAGCTGGGTGTGAAGGCGGGTCCGCCCACATGATTCAGGCTTTCTCCCGATATCCTGTGAGGTCACTTCTACCTCTCCACTCCATTTTCCCGTTGAGGAAGAGGGAGACGCAGTTGCCTGGCCCTGAACTCCGGGCTCCTCTGTTTAATGACCTGGAGGGATGGCGAAGGGCTCACCGAAACCCCCCGCCTGCTGGATGTGGAGCGAAAGGCATCTTCGCCTGAGCGAGCTGCCCGCCCAGGCAGCAACGGTTCCCTCCCGCGTCTGGGGACCCCGGTCTTTAACCCCGTCCTTCCCTGCTGGAGTCAAGAACCCTCAGACACACTTGGACTTGTGGGTTCAGACCAGAGTTCTTGCTCCTGTGGTTCGGAGGGAGATCCTTGTGGCCTTTGCCATCCCCATCATTTGTAAGGGAACATGGTAATAGAACCTACCCCACAGGGTTATTGTGTGGCTTGAGCCACTTAAAGCCTATAACTTGCTTTGAACAGCACGTGGTACGTGTGAAAGATGTGTTTGCCAGAAATATGATTACTTCTTGGTTCCTGTCGTACACCGGGACAGGTTCGAGATGGTGAGTGGGACAAAACTAGAGAAGTACTGAAAAGGAAGATGCCAAAAAAGGGACCACTGTCAGCAACACAACGTAGTGGCCTAAAATGCCTAGTCCAAGTGAGCAGTCCCGAGGTGATACTATTGCCAGCCGCTCCTCTCAGCTGGGTATATGCTGGCAGGATTTTTAGGGGTTTTTTGTGAACCACCTTCTTTTTCTCTGCGGTTAATTTCGAACTGGTCTCCAGTTTCTAAGAAACTTTGCAGCTTCGGATGTGTCTAATTAGGCATCCATGCCAGAGGGTGAAGAAATCGGCCGTGGGTCGGTGTTGCATCCGTAATAACTAGGCTGCGTTTCTGGGCTGGCAGAGGACGTGGCCTTGAAGCCATCACACGTCTTATGACTTCACGCACCCATGGGGTCCTGCTCGCTCAGTAGAGTCTTTTGTATGAGCTCAATTCAGGAAACAGTATTCCTGACTCAAGTAGGGACTGTTGCAGCATGTTTTCCCTGCCCTGCAAAGGTCGAGGGCAAAAGGGCGTGTGGAAGTCAGATATGAAGTGTGAATACGGTTGGGGTGGGAGAGTGGAAACCCTACAGGCAGAGTTGACCAGGCAGAGGTCACTGTCCTCAGGGTTTGTCTAAATCTCTCCTTCTTTCTCCCAGAAATGAGCCTTTCCCTTGGGCTCCTGCTCTGACTCTCCACGTTTTGGGCCCTGGCTTCCTCCCCAGCCTCATCTGTGTCCGTCATGTTGAGTTTAGTGGTTTATTTGCTTTATGGTTTGAATTTTGTAACCAGCCCGCCCCCCCAAATTTATATGTTTAAATCCTAACTCTTAATACCTCAGAAGGTGACCTTATTTGGAAGTAGGGCCGATGCAGATGCTATTAGTTAAGATGAGGTCATACTGGAGTAGAGTGTATGACTGGTGTCCTTATGAAAAGGGGGACTTTGGACACAGAGGCGTATGCACATAAGGAGAATTCCACGTGAGGATGAAGTTAGAGATCAGGGTGTTGCTTCCACAAGCCAGGGAAGGCCAAGGATGCCTAGCAAACCACCAGCAGTTAGGGAAGGGGCATGGAGCAGATCTGCCTTCACAATAGCCCTCAGGGGAGACCAACCCTGCCAGTTCCTTGATCTGAGACTCTGGCCTCCAGAACTGTGAGACAGTATACGTCTGTTGTCTCAGCCACCCAGCCTGTGCCCCTTAGTTACGGCAGCCCTTGCAGTCGAATCCAGTAACACATCTGCATTCCTCGCTGGAGCATGACCTCCTAAAGTGTAGACGGAGACTGTCACCTAAGGGCTGGGGGCTCTGAGGACAGGGTTTATCACTTGGGAAATGCTTGAGAAGTTTTTGCAGAAGGAATGAAGGGAAATCATTGGAGGCAGGGATCTCAGGCTATACCTCTGCAGCTGTAGCCTCTCACACAGAGCCTGGTATCGCGGAGGGGCTGAACTATTGGTTACAATAAAATAACAACTTGGGGCCCTGTAGGAGATGAAGAAGAAATACAAGACATGGTTCCTCCCTTCAAGCATCTCTTATGGTTATTAGAGAAACCAGATCTGTCTGTACCCAGGAGACAATTAAGACAGAGGTCCCTGAGCAGGTTAGGGAATCTGAGCCATGGCAGAAATTAGGAGGAGGAAACGCAAAGGGCACTTGTGTTTCCTTTCAGTCTAGCTAAATATCAAGCCCTCTATTTCCAGGAATTAAATCATGAAAACAACAGGCAACATTTAAACACAAGAGCTCTTCAATCTGTGAAGGTTGCACTCATTTCTGTTGTGCACATGTTCATATGTTACTTAAAACACGACTAGTTGTTTCTTGTTTGTGTGGTTGGTTTTCTACACTAGGCGCTAACTCCACGAGTACGGGGCCGACACGTTCCCCCTCCTTTTCCTGCTTTCAGAGGAACTCTTACATCGAAGGCGTGGAGCTGAAATTAACAAACACCTGTGGAATAAATGATGCCTGTATATGTGGGTCTGTGTGTGCTCAGGTATCCGGGACGTGGTTTGAAAAAGCGTATTTAAAAAATCTGGACTTTGGGGACTTCCCTGGTGGTCCAGTGGGTAAGACTCCACGCTTCCACTGCAGGGGGCACGGGTTGGATCCCTGGTCGGGGAACTAAGATCCCGTATGCCATGCAGCACGTCCAAAATAAAAATAAAATTTAAAAAATCGGGACTTTTAAGATCTGACCCCAGAATATGTTAAATATTATATTTAGTTAGAATATCTAAACCTTAGGAATCTTGATGGACCTATTGGAAGAGCAATAGGTAAGAGACATATAATGAAATAACTATGCTAACTGCAGACATCTGTGCCCCTAAGAGATTTTGTTACCGTATAGATGTGTATGAGGAGCAACCAGGGAGAGAGGAGAGAAGCAATTAGACTACTGTCAATGGCAGATCCAGAATGGAGCGCGATTCAGAAAACTGATACTGATTTGGTGTTGGACTCACTCTTCTCTTATTCTGAGCTAGAAAGTCCAGAGTTTTCTGTTCATGACCAAAACATAATGCCTCAACACAGGCCAGAGATTTCTCAAAGTGCAGCCTGTGGATTTGAATTACCTGGGGTGTTTGTAAAAATGTAAATTCCAGGGTCATTCCCTAGATCTAGTGAATCGGGGCCTTTGGAAGTGGGACCAGGAATGTGCACTTTCAATAAGCTGATTCTTACCAGCTCATACGGCTCTGCACACACTGAGGTCCAATTCTGATACACGCTGAAGTTTGGGAATCATTGGTTGAGAGGATAGTGCTAATGAGAGCAGAGTTAGAGATTTGATTCCAAACGGTCCAGCTGGGATGCATTGCCCAGGGCTGGCGTTCTGACTTGTGTCATAAAGTTGAGAGAGAGAGAGAGAGAGAGAGAGAGTAGGGGTATAAGTTAGTTTGGTCCAGCACAATCCATCACCACTACTGGGGAACACAAATAAACAAGCAACCCCAGTGCCTGCTCTTTACAAGTGTGATCTTGCTATAAAAAGTCACAGCTTTGCTGAATTACCTTCCCTGGACCTCGGTTTCCCCATCTGAAACACAAAGCACGGATATGAGTCGTCTCTGAGGTCCTTCTCAGTTCTAAAAAATGATAATTGTACAGTTTTTACTTGTACTAGCATGCAATAATCCAGCTCTTTTTGCACAACTTTATTTCCAGTGTAAAGTAAATAATTGAGGCAACGTAAGAGCACTGAGCTGGGAGTCAGGAAGCAGGAACCTGGATCCTGGCTCAGGCAGTAAGCAGCTCGGTGACACGGGGGCAAATTATCTAATGCCTCTGGGCTTCATTTTCCTCATATGTAAAATGGGTACTTTAAGTTAGACAATTTCAAAATCCCCTCTTAGAATTATTATCC